ACATTTTAGATTAAACCATAACAGAAATGATACTGCAACTGAATATTTTTAGGAGCAATTAAGACAACTGTGGAGTTAGTGAAAAGCACTGTAGTAGTTTGGGCTTTTGCAACAAAATACCATAAATGACATAGTTTATAAGCAGAAGAAATTTATTTCTCCCAGTCCTAGAGTCTGGAAAACTCAAATCAAGGCCCAGGCAGATTCAATGTCTGGTGAATTTCCCCTTCCTGGTTCATCTTTTTGCTGTGTCTTACATGGTCTCTTTTAGGCCTCTTTATAAGGCCCTAGTAAGACGGTTCTGCCCCATGACCTAATCACCTCCCAATGGCCCAACTCCAAACACTGTCATCTTCACAAGTATGATTTCAATACATAAATTTGAGGAACGAGGGGGACGTGTTCAGACCCTAGTAGCAACTATTTAAAAGGCAAAGGAACTACAAAAACAATTTGTAAAATAGCTATGCCAGAAATATTCATGTACAAATAGCATTTATATCATCTTATTGATAAAAACCCTGAACATTAGTCAAAATCACAAGATAAGCAGATAGGAGAGTAGGAAGGACTATAGGTCTCTGGTGGGGGTAATTTGTCAGGGGAAAGGAAAAAGAGCCAAATACTCAGCTTCCGTTATGGAAAGGAACAATGTTTAAAATAAAAACAAGGAGTATTTAAGACACAGAGGTGAAGAGGTGAAAGAAGTCCTCTTTTTTTAAAGAGAGAACTAGAAAAAGGGTGGTAGGGAATATTGTTTTCCATAACCTTGTTAGAACTATTTGATTCTTATATGTTCACATAACTCTGAATTTTAAAAATTAAAATATTAATTATCACATTATTTGTAGTTTGTGGCAAAGTAAGTTCATATTTTTAATGTGTTTATCCCATTTCATGCTGTATGTTTATACTGAATACATGAAGCAAAGGAAATTATATGCTATGAGTGTACTCCTGATTTTGCAAGTCTTCTGTTCAGTCACTAAACTTCAAAATCTGAATATTTTTGAAAATGTAGAGATGTGAAGCAAATAAAGAACAGTTTCCCAAGGATTATTTTCTATTTTAGAATACAAAAGATTCATTACAACGCTCCCTGTAATACCTGCTTCCGTCTATTTAATGTTTAAGATGTAATTTTCCACCTTGACTTGAATTTTTTCCTTCCCTCAATTATTTGTATCTATTTTAGAACCATCTAGCGGTCCTATAATGTTAAGCATGCAGCTGGATTATTGAGAAAAACTAAACTTCGTCTCTGTTGTTTAGTCATTATCCTGGCTTGAGGCCTGAGTAGTGAAGATCATTCTATAGATCAAGTAATTTCTCCCCTTCCTATTGCTGACAGAGATAATGCCATATTAAAGTTTGTCAATCTGCAAACTTTTAAATATCTGTGTTTAAATCGTATTCAGGGACCACTGGTGTTGAGCCCCTTTGCAGTTTCCTCCCGCTATGCAACTTTCACTTAGTTCCACTTAAATGTCTTGCACAATTTAATGGACCTCACTGGGAAATCCATAGGAAAGCATTAAACACCAATCATCTCATATGGCCAAATAATTAATGAAGAGTAATAGCGATGCTCCTGAGGGGGCTGTAGCTATTGAGAATAAAACAGGCTTTAATACAAAACTCCCACACACCAGCTCAAAAGCCACTGTCTCTATGAAGCCCCTCTGGCAAAGCCCTGCTTTGCAATCCCCGGACTTGATGGACTTCTGCAACATGAGGTATTTATTACCTTCTAACACCCTCATGATTGTGTCCTTCACCAGAAGAATGGGAAATGTTTCATCTCCATATCTTCCACAACACTTAGCATTATCCTTGGCACAAAGGAAGGATTTCAATCAAGACCAAGAGAACGAGGCTGGTAATGATGACAATGATTTATGAAATGGCACATTGACATTTATGGGACACCATTTTTTTTATAAATAGGATCTCACTATCTAGCCCAGACTGGCCCTCCAACTCAGGGTAATCTTCCTATCTCCACCTCCTGAGTGATGAGAGTACAGGTGTGCAGCACAATTCCCAGAAATGAGCACATTTTATATAGGAAGGTAGAAATTTTACATGCATTCCTTCATTTAAAACAAAACAAAAAAAATCTTTTAAGTAAGCAACCTGGCTCTTGTTATATCTGTGATGTGAGACATTAAAGTCTGGCTTCTAAGAAGTATCTGTCTGTTATTAAGAATAAAGACAGGAAAGAAGAAAAGTTTGATAACTCCAAGTAGAATTTAAATTTTGAATTCTAGATTACCTTTAAAACAATTTTGATTAATTTTAAGCATTGAGTGTTTTTAATTTTCTCTTTTTTTCAGGGTCCACTTATAAGCTGAAAATTTTCATATGGTGCATACATGTGCATAATTGTTATTAACTCTACTTTTCAGTCATAGGCTTATATTTGCTAAAAATATGTTCATAATATGCAAAATATTTTGAATTAATTTGTTTTTATTGTACTTATTTGCAATGTTACCAGTGCAGATTCAATTTGTGCATCCGTGTTTTTTCTTTATTTTACTTGCATGAGTAGATTTTTGTATTTTCACTCCTTCTTGGTAAACTACAATTTCTTCTGATTGGTGCTTTCCTAGATTTTACTAATAACAGAAACCCCCATAAAAATATGGTTTGCTAACCCTGTCATAAAATCAACATCTCCTGAAGAAGCGCTTGGAACACTAAACTTATTAGTGGTTTTTATTGCTACATAAGCTTGGAAACTGTCCTGATATATTCTCTTCTAGGTCTTTGAGCCATTACTTTTATAAGAGAAAATAAAACATTTCCATTATGTGGCTGTAGAGAAACTTGGTAAACAGTTTTTTAAAAATTCTAATTTAATTTAATGTTTAAATTCTATCACCATTTTAATTAATGGTTCTCATATCCATTTTAGAGTGATAACATAAAATAAATCATATATATCATCCTGGGAATTAAAATATCTGCTGTATTAATGACAAGATCTATTTTCTAGATCTATTCTATATAGATGTCATGAATGGCATATCAAATGTTATCATTATATTCACTACAACGATGTTAATATCTGATTATTCTGCTATGACTCCCTTCCCACATCAAATAAACTCTTTGAGACCAAAATTTCATCTTTTATTTCAGCTATGCTTCCCACAAACCTAAAACAGGTGCATAATATGTGTAATATCTGTATTTATTGAGTTAAAATAAATCAAATAGTGAATTATTGACAAAGCAAAAAGCTAATGATAATGATGTCAGCACAGTCTTTTCCATACGTTATTGCGCGGAGATCATCATGTTTTCCAAGAGGCAACTACTTCTCTCAAGATTTCTCACTTGGTAAAGACATATGGAAGATGTTAGAAAAGCTCTATCAGTCTCTTCTCTCTTATGTACTTGGCTGTTTTTTCAAGCTCCTTCTCTCTTGTCTTTTCTATATACCCCAGTAAGAGTTTTTTATCTGTTTAAATATAAATAGCCCAAGCCAGGTGTGGGGGTGCATGCCTGTAATACCAGCACTCGGGAGGCTGAGACAGGAGGATCACTGTGGGCTACATAGTAAGTTCCAGGTCAGTCTCAACTATAGAGTGAGACCCTGTCTCAAAAAACCAAAAAATTAAAAAATTAAAAAATTAGATAAATAAATAAATAAATAAATAGAAATAGCCTAGAATGTAAACTTCAGTGAGCATGGGCTCTCTCAATAGAGCTTTTCAGTCTCTCAGAACATTAATAAAATAAACATCTGATGCCAAACTACAAGCTACACCACTTCAATAATGATGGAACATTTCTTTCTCTAGTGAGCAAGGAACTTGCAATTAATACTTGGTATCACTGAACCAAGAAACTATGTTTTTGCCATCTAAAATAGCTTGAGCCCCAAAAGGCTGCAGGTCATCAGGCTCAGTATTATCAATACATATGTAGCACACACAAAATATTTGTTAAAAGAAAGGAAAATGGAGAAAGAAGAAAGAAAGGGAGGGAAAGGAAGGTTTAACTTATAATATTTATTTCAAAGTTTATTTATTTCAATGTTTACTTCAAAGTTCTCTTATCTTGAAATTATAAGTTGTTACTCATAAGCTTGATATATGTATTTCTATGAGTATACATTAATATCTTTAGCATTTTTATCTGGAAAATATTTTGCATGGCCTACAATTTTTCTATGATCACAAACATGCCTATACTATTGAAGAAAATTGGGTATTCAATTTTCCAGTTAAATGAGATATTCTTACATTTTATTTACAGTATATATTACTACTTTACTGTAAGTACATTCATGTACATGACAAGAAAATAAAGCTTTAAAAATACATTACTGTACTCTCCTTTTGCCAGACTGAAGATTGAACCCAGGGCCTTTACACTGACCTACACATAGCATTTATTTTTTGTTTGGAGACAAGGTCTCACTAACTTGCTATTGCCTAGGCAGGGCCTAAACTTGCACTCCTCCTGCCTCAGTCTCCCGCAGTGCTAAGACTACAGACATGTACCAGACAGTCTGGATTGTACTTAAGGTTTTGTTTGATATTCGAAGATTTTAGTATATTGTAGACCATAGGATAAGATGGGGACTCGATCATTGAGATAAGGATAAGAAAATGTTCTGATATCAGTAAGTTGGAACTTTTAGGAAAAGACTGGAGAAGGAAATGAGAGGATACAAGCTATTCAGTTCTTTGTTTAAGTGGATACAAATGGAGCTAAAATTAACAGCATTTATGTAGTTAAATGCTAGTAGTCTATGGTTTAAATCTTTAGTATCTCCCTAGTTTCATGTCCTCAACTTAGTACCATTGGAAGGTGATGGAAACTTTAAAAGCCAAGGCTTAGAATGAGGTCTTAAATCATTAGGGGCATGCCCTTAATTGGGACTTTAGGTCCTCTGTTTCCTTTGTCTTTGCTTCTGAGCTGCCATGAGGAGAGCAGTAGACTCTACTGTGCACTACCCACAGTGATGTTCTTTCTTGCTACAGGCCCAAAGACAACAGAGCCTATCAACCATGGACTGAATCCTCTGAAACCACGAGTCAAAATAAACCTTCCTCTCTTTAAATTTATTACCTCAAGTAATTTGTGACAGCATTGGAAAGGTGACTATCAGTGGATATTTTGGCATTTTGAGGTGTAAACTGTGTGTGTGTGCACATGCACACACGTGTGTGCATAGATATGTGTGTCTAAATTGAAGAAAAAAAGGCGTTTAAAATACTGAATTGGAGTTTGAGAAATCTTGGTGAACTTCTAGCACCAACAAAATTAAAAACTGAAGGGTGAAAGTCAAATAGATTGAAGGTTAATCAGCATGTGAGAGAACCAATGAAAATGGGCTTTTTAAAAACAGATGATCAATACTGAAAAGTTAAATTTTATTTTTTATCACTCTTCTCTAATTATTCTGTTTATCGTCTTTTTCCCAGATCCACTAACCATACTCGCTGTCTACTTTAGCTTCTTTACCAAGAAACATATGCACGTGATATTTTTTTTTTCAAGCCTACCAAAAGCATCAAACCAGCATATTCTGATTAGGGAGATTAACTCTTGCCAGACACAGGGTAAATGCTACAAATGTTCAGAATACAGTGGAAGGGATGGAGCAAAATGAGCTGCTCAAGGAAGGTAAAAGAAGGGATGGGCCAAGGACTTGACTTTCATAGATAATTATACTTTCCCTGGCAGAAGAATTGTGTGTGTGCGTGTGTGTGTGTGTGTGTGTGTGTGTGTGTGTGTGTTGGGTTAAGGGAGCGGGAAAGACATACAAAGCAAGACATGGAGGCAAAGTCCCATTTGCTGTGGGAAAAGAAAGAAAATCAATTTGCCTTGAGAAAAGGTTGCACATATATGAAAGGATTGTAGAGGACAAGTCTGAAAACATAGTTTGGGGCAGGTTTACAGAAGGCCTTGAAAGCCCTGTTAAGCTCTCCCCATGTTCTCATTCACACTAGTACTGCTCTTCTTATCCTCCAACAGTACCCCTGTGCTCTAGCAAGTAGCCAATCTCATTTTGCTCTTGAACAAAATATTTAATGAACCACTCACCTCCAGAAGCCTGACAGATGATTACCATGCTAGAGAAGAGCTGATTTGCTTGTCAGGTGAACAATTTACCTTGGAGAAGAAATTAGTCATCAGAGAACCAGAAAACCCAAAGGAACTGTCTTTCCTATGAGATCATCGGGACGCTTAGACATCATTGCTTCAATCTTAGTGTTTTCACAACATTAGAAACCTACCCAGATAAAAGGATATAGGGAGAGAGAGAAGGAAGGAGAATACGAACAGAGGATGAAGAGAAACAAAAACTGGAGTCATAGTGGGAGCCAGGGAAGGAGAAGGGGTGAATAAGAAACATGGCAAGTCCTCTAGCTTTATGTTTATCATGGAGCCCTCATGAGCCTGAGACATTTCTGTCTTCTTGTATTCTCTAAGAAAAATAATCTTTGAGGTGTTGACCTATAGTAGTAGGATGTGTGTATCCATTTTCACTGCTTTTATAGGAAGCAGTGGATGTCCAACTTTTGGAGTGATCTTTTGTTCTTTTTTTAAAATAAAAGAGGGATTTATTTCAAATGTAAAAGCTAGAAGTTGAACTGTGACAGGAGCAATGCACTGATAAAAATAACTCATCATAGAAAATAAGGCTTAATCCCATTCCTTCCTGTTGAAGTTGCTTAAAAAACTGAAAATGCGCAATCAGGAAGCAGATGCTGGGTTCTTCCTTTTGCACCAGAAATGACTGGGGAAAGCTAAGGCTAGACAGAAACGTTCCTCCTCAGCTTTGTTCTCAGTATGTCTCAACATCCAAACGTCATCAGAGAAATAATAAAAGGACAAACACCATGCCATCATGTTGCTGTAGGCCACAGTCAAAATGAGTGGAAGATCAGGCACTCCAACTCCTACAAACTTCATTTTATCAGAAGAGATGTAAGTGATACACTCTATAGACAGCGATGTCCCCCAAGAGGATATACACAAAAGTGAAATTAGTTTTGTTATTAGGGCAATACGTTTGGGGATAATTGATTTTTGCTCTTTAATACTTCACTTGATACTTCTATTTTAACCTTAGGTTAAAAATACCAGCAGGTTTCCCAGACAGTGTTTCCCTAAAAGAACCTCTGTATTTGTCCAAAAGGGTATTTCATGTGAGGTTTGCAAACAGTGTATCGATTCAAATAGACTGTGTGGAAGGAACACTTATCTTTAGCTTCCACATGGCTATGTGAGCCTCTGATATCACTGGTGTGACAATGCTTCCTTCAAAACACAGCTGCCTTCAAACACATGCCACATAGAGATTTTGATGAGTAAATTAAATTCCAGGGCAGGAAGCAGACCAAACCTATACACTCTGCTATTTGAACTTGCTACGTTTCACTGTTTATACTTTCTGCAATGCAGCAAGCTTGCTTATACTACATAAATCAAACACACATGTGCAAACAGACCAACATGGGAGAGAACAGATGGTTTTACACCATGCCTCACAAATTGTGGGTCGTTTTATTCTCTGTTACTCCTGTGTAAAGTATTTAATTTTTTGTTCACAAAATTAAAATTGACAAAGAATATTTTCCTTACCCCCAACTCTATTGCCATTCACTATCTAAATGTTGATGCTGCTCATTGACTCTGATGAAATGGAGATAGTAGAGTCACTGGAAGAATCATGGACCGTGGTGTAAAAGCAGACCTGCACTAGAACACCAGAACTTCAGCTCCCTACTTGCCTCACATGAAACCTTAGGTAAGGCCCTTGAGATCTCTAAGGCTGTAAAATGGGAATGGTGAGCTACACTGGAGTAGAAGTGAGAGTTAAATGAGGGAATAGCATCTGGCAGAGGGCCCAGCACAAAGTAGTGAATACGAGTTGAAAGTGAATTGAATCAATGGGGTGGAAGAGAACACAAAACACTTGAAAAATATCCAATAGGATCCAGGTGTGGAGGCCCACACCTGTAATCCCAATCAGGAGGATCCTAAACCGAGGTTCAGCCTGGGCAACTTACAACTGGCAAGACCCTGCCTCAAAATAAAAATTTTTAAAAATGGGCTGGGGATATAGCTCATTGCAAAGGCCCTAGGTTCAATTTCCAGTATTGTAAATAAATAAACAAATACATCCATAAATACATACATAAATAAATCAATCCATCTATCCACGCATGCATCCGCTCATCCACTAGGACTATTCAAAATGTTTCTGCTAGGTGAGGAACATTTTTGGTGTGCTGTACCTATTTGTGTAGAGATTAATAATAAATTCTCTTTTATGAATCTTTCTCAACAAATCTTTTCTATATCTCAGGATAAGATCTGCATGTAATAAATTAGATATGAATATTATTTTTTAAATCCAGATTTCCTTCCTCCATGTATGAATATTTTCAAGGTTCTTCTCTATAAGGACAATATTTATATCCTGCTTTCCTTCTATGCATTCAGTAATTACTTTTTCAGATTTCATTAATACAGAGAAAAATGTAAGTTGTATGAACTATGCCAATACCTTTAAAAAAAATCAATGATAAGCGATTAAGAGGAACATATGATATCTATATTTCAAAATATCTAAATATCTTTATTCTTCCTCAGAGTTAGAGAGGAAGCAGGTCCTCAGTGTGAGTCAACCATGAAAGATGAAACGATAGTGCTAAGACTTGTGTCAGCCAACCAGGTGGAACTGAAATTCCCTTCCCTGTACTCACACATTGTAGGTGGAGTTCTCGCTGAGATCACCATGAATAATCCAGATGAAGACCAGCCTGAAGCAAGCGGAGTCTTGCTGGCTCAAGATCAGTTTGTTGTGAGCATTTCCTTCCTATGTTATGTGCACAAGAAGGAAGCTGGATCTTGAAGATACACCCAGAAATATCCCGGGTTCTCCTGAGGCTGTACTCAGAAATATGAACTCCCAATCATATCTTATTTGCTTACAAAGAATGAAACAACAGTAATTATAACTAAAACCAAATTCAATTTTAATTCAATAGCTGGAACAACTTAGCACTGAAGTTGGTAAAAGTATCCATGCTTATTGTCAGTTCTGACTCACAGATGTGTCAGTTTTCAAATTCCTCTACGCGTCAACTTTCCAAATCTGCCAAAGAAGTGGCTTCACCTACATAAAACGGATTGGTATTAATTTTTTTTTTTTCTGGCTAGTATCAGTTTTCCCAAGACTTCCTATCCCTTATTCTTCCTGGGGAGAAGACAGTCTTCTTTTGCCTAAGTTGGTTGAAATTGACTTTCTGACCCTGAAATCAGGAGTTGCGATTTACATGACCAAACTATTCTGAGATGACAAATTTCCTCATATAAAATAAATAGTGTAAATATTTTACATACTACAAGATAATAAATTTTTTTTCATTATTTAATCTGTTTTGAGGTCATAATTAGGAATGACAAGCAACGCTGTCAGACAAGGCCCAAAACTCACGAGAGGAGTAACTGAATATTTGCTAACAACTGACTTCCTCTGTGAAATCTGTTTTAAAGCTATATCAAACAAAACTTACCTTTAAATCATCTAGCTCAGTGATCACTTTCTTCCTTCTCTTATATTTCAGGTTAACTTACCCAGCTGTGCTTGTAATCAGAACCTTTTCGGTTCCCTGGAAAATTTTATCCTACCAATCGGGAGTCCTCGTCAATTAGAACTCATCATTTTCAACCTCTGTCTCCACTACGGTCTTCCCTGTCTTACTAGGGAAAAAACAAATAGAAAGGTCTCACTAAATTCATTCTGCACATGAAATAAAGATACAACTATTTCTTTCCTCTTATTCAAATAAACCTATCAAAAGAGTGCGAAGCACAAGCACCCAGAGGTCCAGAGTTGAGAGGATCTGAGTTGGAACCTGACCTTTATCGGTTCCTGTAGTGTAACGTGGTAAATAAACATGTATATTACTGTCCAATATGTATTGCAACTTGTTCATCTATAAAAGGGTGATAATAATATACCTGCTTAATAAATAGGTAAGAAGACTATGTATGTCAAGTATTTAATGAAATACTAGACACACAAGTAAACTCAAGAAGCATTAGCCAGCATCATGATTATTGTAACCTGATCTTTGTTTCTTTTTTCTTTAATGTCCTGAACTTTGTCTTTTCTCATCTTGTTCTCCCTAGTTTATCAATTCTAATCACTAAATCCAACTCTTCAGTTGTCTAAGACTTCTCCTCAGTGTTTGCCTTAATAGTTCATCATCTTCTTTTTGAATGTCGCTCTTCCTTTGGGTCCCTAGCTCTCTACATTCATCTCTGTCCACTGACTAAGCTCTCTTTTTCTTCTTTAGTGGGGTGGGTGAGGGGTTTTGTGCAGTAGATTCATTGGTTTTCTTCCTCAGTGGAGAGAAATTCATATAATTAAACCATATAATTGCCTGTTTGGTATGAATTGGGCATCGAGAAGTTTGGACCACAGAGTTCTCACTCAGGGAGCCAGTTTTTTGTTTGATGCTCAAGGATACTAGGGAATAAAGGGATAAATGTAAAAGAAAGACAAAGATAAGTCTTCATCCATTTAATACGCAATATTGTCAGACTTAATCTCGGGCCAAAACAGACACTATAAAAGAAGATTCAAATTTGATAGTGCATTGGTCAAAATTTTACATGTATCTAAATGTTAGCTTTTTACAAATATTTTATTTAGTTTATTTGTACACTACAGTAATTAGTAACATAATTGCTGCAAATTGAATACACAACTAATTTCCTGAGTCTATGTAGTGCTCTCCTATTTCTCTTCCATTACATTTCTCTTCCCCCACATTTGCCCACCCATTTCTGCTTTTTTGTCCCAGAGTTCTCGCTATAATTTTATTTTTTTCTATATCTTATTGAAACCTTATCTTCGCTCTAAAATGCTTTGAAATCAGAACATGAAAAATCTCACATCTGTACAAGTATAGGGATGAAATCTAATGTGTCTCCAAAGCAGGCAAGGATCTTGATTATTCTGGGTGATCTCTTGTTTTGCTCTGTAGGAAATGATGCCCCTTGTATCTTTTCAGCTGATTAGAATAATTATCCAGCCTTTGTTTAAACATTCTTCTAACGTTTTGGATTAATCTTGATTGTCATACAATGAGCTAATACGATCTCCTCCCCCCACAGTCTATCTTGTGAAGCATCTAGTAAGGGGTCAGTTGCCTCCCTTTTGCAACCTTCTTTGAGAGCAGGAGCTATGTCCTTTTCATCTTTGAAGCCCAATGTCTTTTATGAGGTAGACACTTAGTAAATGTTTGATATTCTAGACAGAGCTGGGAAAATATGCTATAGGGATTTTGGAAAAAAATTGTTTAAAAAACCTGCTTCTATTGTTACAAAGGCTAGCGATCCTTTGAGCTCAGACTTACAGGGATTGTGGGCCAATAAAACCACATAAGCTATTTCCCCTTCCTCTTTCTTCACAGCAGCTTACCAAAGTGAAGCATCCTCCTTCCTTCCTGTCACTGCCATGTCTCTCTCTCTCTCTCTCTCTCTCCCCCCCCCCACTGAGATTCAGGAAACAGCCTTGCAGTGTTGGGGTAAGAGAAAAAAAATCTCCATTTTCCATTTTGTTAATCTCACTTGATCCTTTACACTTTCCTGTGATACACATTGAATATACCCCCATTTAGTAAACAAACGTATCTAAAGCTTCTAAGGGTCAAGAGAATTCCATAACATTATTCTGACGGTGGATGAAAAATGACTGGCAATCAGATGTCTGGGATTATATCTAATCACCTTAAATTATCACTGTCATTACTCTACAGTAAGTCCATGGGTAACTATAACAGCAGTTACATTTTAGTTTTACAAATGTCAAGGTAGTTTTGTGTAATGTTATCTACTTTAAATATAGGAATAATAACTAGCATTCCAGGTCAACAACTCCATCACTTGGAAAGCAATTTTTCCAAAAAATAGAAATGCTTAGCTGATGTATTCATTCTATAGCTCAATAATTGACCTATACTTTTCCTAAAATTTTAGGTGAGTTTGTTAAATTAAAATAAAAGGATTTGTATCCAAACCCCACAGCAGCAATTTGATCCTCCACGTAAGTAACCTTGGTGATTGGATATTTTCCAACTTAGAGTTCCCACTTTACAACCATCCAGTGACTTCTACAATAAACTATAACCCCACAAGCTTGAGGGTAAAGAAATGTCTTATATATCTTTATCCTTAGCTGCGTAGTGCTTTCCCCAGCACATACTACCTATTCAATAAATGTTGAATGAATGAGTATATGATTTTTGTCATCTATAGAGAGCCACTCTCCACAGTACTTTGGTCACATCCCTAAGCAACCTCAACCTTGGTCTTCACATTGGCTGTATTCCTGGAGCCCAAATGTAACATAATTATAATTTAAAATGAAAAGACCAAAAAAGATTTAATAGAAAACTTGGGAGTGTTAGAGTAAAACACCAATAAACATTTAATTTCTAATAAAGATCATGACACAAATATACTTAGGCCCAGCTCTCAGTGCAAAATATGTAATTTATCTGAAGCCACAGATAAATGGGAGGAATAGCCTATTGATAGGGAAGAACGGAAGTGAAGACAAGCACTTCAGCAACTGGTATTCTCTAAGATTATGATGCATTTTCTGCTCGAGAAGAATTAGAGGATTCAGCTAGTTTTAGTTAATATATCACCTCCTACTTTGCAAGGGGAAATATGATATTTTCAGGAGTTGGGCTAGGGTCTATTGTGCTTTATATAAGTGGGTAGTAAAAGGATGTGGGACGATGTCTATCCAGATGTCCACCTAATGCTTTGTAAGATCATGGGTGGGACCTTTGGAAGGCGGTTGTATTAGAGGGGCACTGGAGCTGACTTGCTATTAGAAGAGGAGGCCTGGTTGTGGGCCTGACCTGGAAGGTCCTGGAGCCTCCCTTCCTGGCTGCCGTGATGTGAGCAGCTTCTCCTCCACTATGCCTCTCGGTCCTGTCTTGGACCCAGCCAATGATGCACCGAAACACGAGCCAAAGTACAAAAGATAGATAATGGAAACACGGAGATAGATCTTTTGCAAGAGGGGACGGAATCAAGAGACTAAGGGAGAGGAAGGGAAGGGGATGAAAAAAAAATTGACATGTTATGTATGTGTACCAAATTTCTGTGATGAATGTAATCATTATATATGGCAAACATGTACTCATAAAAATAAAAATTAAAAAATAAACCTTTCTTCTCTTAAGTCGCAGGTTTCAGGTATTTTTTTTCCCTTAGGGATAAGAAAGTGACTAAGATCTGAGGCTTGGGCCTTAGCCAAGATGAGAAATTGAAATTCCATAAAAATCAACACAGGCGTATTTCTTTTTAGTAGAAAGAATTTTCCCAAGGAACAATAAGAAATAATGTCTCAACAGGAAGTGTAGAGACGATTATGGTTCCTGGGAGTCTCTCCTCTACAGATGAGAACCCCTGCTTGAGGGGCAGGAGAGTTGAGTTGGCAGAGTCTTGCCCACATTTTAAGAGCTTATGGAGCTCCCCAGGTTCATCATTTCCATCAAAAGCCACCCGATCTAGAGAGAAACTGCTTCCCGTTTGTCCTGAGTCCAGACCTGTTTTCCAAGCTGTTTCTGCCAGGCAGGGAAGCTTAGGACCACTTGTTTATCGTACAAACAAGGCCAAGGTATTTATGCAAACAAGACTAGGTGGACTACTAAAGACTGTTAAACCCTCTGTGGGAGTTCCTGAGAGGTAATACAATTTGTCTATATCAATTTTTTTCTATGGATCCTTGAACATCTTTTTATAAGCAGTCTTGCCTGGTAATGTAGCCCAGTCTGAGCATGCATAATATATTCATAGCCAAGTTATGGAATATCTTCTTGGAGTTGCCCTTGAGTTGTCT